GAGTCTCCTGCCTCAGCCTCCCAAGTAGCTGGGACCACAGGCGCCCGCCACAACGCCCAGCTATTTTTTGGTTGTAGCCATTACTGTTGTTTGGCGGGCCCGTGCTGGATTTGAACCCGCCACCTTAGGTGTATGTGGCTGGCGCCTTAACCTCTTGAGCCACAGGCACCAAGCCTCCAAATTCTATTGGGGAAAACTCTCCTGGGGTCAGAGTTCTCTTTTATTATCACATAAAATCATTTCCATTTAGCTTCACAAACAATTTTACCTTCTTTGCCATAAAATAAGAATCAAGTTAAACTCTGGAAGAGTGCATTAAATTAAGAAGATGAAAAACACAAAACTTTTTTTTTTAAACTTATTGATTTTTACAAAACACTCCATTTGCCTGACTGTCTAGGAAAAGGTAGGCAAACATGTCCGTTAGCCCCAACTCAGGCACTGTCAGACCCTGGCCAATTTCGTCAAAAGCTCTTGGGACTGACTCCTGCTGGAGATGTTTCTTACCTTTAGCACCTCCACTTGGTTACCAAGTCCTTTAGTGCAGAGTTCCATTACGGAATAAGAGCAGAAAGTGTCCCTTATTTTATACTGGTTGACAGTGGTGAGCCAGAGGAAAAGGTTGTTTTCTAACTCCATAGGAGGAATTAAGATAGACTGGTGACCTGAATAGACACTGCAATGGAGAAAGGCAAGAGTTGGCATTATTAATTCTTCCTAGATCCCTATCAAGTCAATAAATTTTTTTTTAGATCCCTATCAAGTCAACAAATTTATAGATCCCTATCAAGTCAACAAATTTTTTAGATCCCTATCAAGTCAACAATTTTTTTTTTAAAGATAGACACTCTGGCTCAGTGCCTGTAGCTCAAGAGGCTAAAGCACCAGCCATATACACCAAAGCTGGCAGGTTCAAATCCAGGCCAGGCCTGCCAAACAGTAATAACTACAACCAAAAAAAAAAAAAAAAAAAGCCAGGTGTTGTGGTGGGTGCCTGTAGTCCCAGCTACTTGGGGGGCTGAGGCAAGAGAATCGCTTAAGCCCAGGAGTTGGAGGTTGCTGTAAGCTGGGATGCCACAGCACTCTACCCAGGGCAACAGCTTGAGGCTCTGTCTCAAAAAAAAAAAAAAAGATAAGAGACTCTGCTGCCTAGGCTAGGGTGCTATGGCATCAGCCTAGCTAACAGCAACCTCAAACTCCTGCGCTCAAGTGATCCTTCTGCCTCAGCCTCCCAAGTAGCTGGTACTACAGGTACCTACCACAACACTCTGCTAATTTTTCTATTTTTAGTATAGATGGGGGTCTCACTCTTATTCAGGCTAATTTCGAACTCCTGATCTCAAGCAATCCTCCTGCCTCAGCCTCCCACACTGCTAGGATTACAGGAATGAGCTACTGTGCCTTGTCCAATTCAATAAATATTTATGGACCAGGAAGGATACCACAGGGTCAAAGGAGACAAAAAGGTCTAAGAATCAGCCTTGTTTCCTGTGCAACTCACAAGCCACAGTAAGTATAAAATAAAACAGACTGTGGTAGGTGTGGTAACTGAGATGTGAATAAAAGTACACTGACATCATACAATAAAGAACAATTCATTCAACTGGGAAAACCAGGCGGGGGAGTAGTAGTTTTCACTGAATAGGCAACACGTGAGCTGGGGCTTGAACAGTGAGTAGGAATTAAATAGTGGCTGGAAAAAATGGGGAGGGTGGGGAGGGTGTTCCAGGCAGAAGAACAGCATAGACAAAGCCAGAGAAATATGGTGTGTTTGAGGCTGTCAGAAATAGTGTTCACGAAAAATCCTCAAACGTGGGATGCATTTAGGAGTAAGGTCAGAAAGGTTAAGACCAAACTGAAAGGGCTTACCACCTGCCACATGAAGAACTTCAGACTTTACTCAGCAGGCAGCTACTACAGCTTTAGTTTTTAATTTTTTGTAGAGACACAGTCTCACTTTAACACCCTCAGTAGAGTGCCACGGTGTCACACAGCTCACAGCAACCTCCAACTCCTGGGCTTAGGCTATTCTCTTGCCTCAGCCTCCCAAGTAGCTGGGACTACAGGTGGCTGCCACAATGCCCAGCTATTTTTTTGTTGCAGTTTGGCCGGGGCTGGGTTTGAACCAGTCACCCTCAGTATATGGGGCCAGCGCCCTACCCACTGAGTCACAGGTGCCGCCCATATTTTTATTTTTTTGAGATAGAGTCTTACTTTGTTGCCCTTGGTAGAATGCTGTGGAGTCATAGCTCACAGCAACCTCAAACTCCTGGGCTTAAGCGATTATCTTGCCTCCACCTCCCAAGTAGCTGAGATTACAGGCGTTAGCCACCAGCACCTGGCTATTTTTAGAGATAAGGTTTCACTCTGTCTCAGGCTGGTCCCGAACCTGTGAGCTCAGAAAATCTACCTACCTTGGCCTCCTAAGCGCTGGGATTACAGATGTGAGCCACTGCACCCAGACTATTTTTATTTATTTATTTAAACTGTTGGGCTCAAGCAATTCTCTTGCCTCAGCTTCCCAAGTAGCTGGGACTACAGGTGCCTGCCACAACACCCAGCTATTTTTAGAGACGGGGTCTCCCTCTGGCTCAGGCTAGTCTCAAACCTGTGAGCTCAGGCCATCCACCTGCCTTGGCCTCCCAGAGTGCTGGGATTACAGGAATGAGTCACAGCACCCAGCCCACTGCAGCTTTAAGTTGGGACAAAACTAACAACATAGAGTAGAGACTGGAGATATAAACCAGTGAAGCCTCAGAGATGGTTAGGAGAGGCTGCAATAGTGTGATGATAAAGGCTTGAGCCCAACAGTGCAGCCCCAGGATAATATAGAAGGAATGACAGAGTAACCAATCACATATTATGTATATGTCCAATCTATAGCCGCAAAGCATACGATATCCTAAACCCAGGGAATAGCACAAAATCACTGGGACCCCAGGGATTCTCTATTAAAATAATACTGGAGATGTGGGCTCTGCCTCTGGAGTAAGCCTAGGGAAATTCCTCATTAATTTGTTTTGTTTTTTAAAACCCCCCAGGTAACTCTTATGTAAAGACAGGTGTGGGAACAGCTGAGTCGAAGGACATGACACTTGATTAGATTTGAGACTTAAAGATATAGAAGTTAAAGATAACGCCCAAGTTGCTGGTTTGAGCCACTAGATGGATGATCTTATCCAAACAAAGATGAGGACACAGAAGAGGATGTTGAGTTGCTGGCATTCGTGACATATACCAAGGGGATGAAAATGTGAGTCTAAGCTCCGGTCTCCTGGGTGGACAGAGGAATGAACTGGGATTTGTGTTCCCCAAGAAGTAGCCTGGCTGACACCAATGTGCTACGTCCACATGCTGTCATCCCATCGCATTATACTCCTTCCTGCTGAGCCTGCGGGGTACATTCTGGCTGTCAAAGCATGACATATTTCACTGACCCATCATCCTTCTACTGGCTTTGATTCTAAAACAAGAATTACAGGATGAGCAGAGGGCAGGCAGGAGGATCACTGCAATTTTGTATGAGGCATAAAATAGAAACAGAGAAGAAAAAAGGGAATACAGACAAAAATAACAAACATCAGAAACATTAGGTTCATAGATTATGGAAAACCACCATTTTACTAAAACCTTACCCAATTAAGGGAGCAAAGGGAAGGATGAGACAGTTAGAGCCCACAGTACACCCAGCACATTCTGTTTCTTTGGCTTTTCCATCCCTACCTGCAGAGGCACCAGAGTGCAAAGCCAAGTCCACAGTATGGATCAAGGCAGATGGCGATCTGCCGAGAAGAATACAACTCACACTGGAGCTTGATGGCTCTGCAAAGAGCATTAACCGCAGAGTGGGACATCTGGAAAGTAAGGAACACGGAACAGGATGGAACTGTCATCTCGCAGGCAGAGAAATGGCTCCAACCACAGCTTTTCCATTCCTCAAACTTCTCAAAACAATGTATATTTTTTAATGATTCAATGCCTAATCTATGTCTAAAGTAAGGTATCTATAACTTATATCATGAACAAGTACATCATCATTCTGAGAGAATTAAGCGTTACACATTTCCAGAAGGAAAAATGCAAGAGGAAACAGTAACCTCCTTACTCCTATATGTGTTTTCTTTCTTTCTTTTTTTTTTTTATTTTGCAGCGACAGAGTCTTACTTTATTACCCTTAGTAGAGTGCTGTGGCATCATACAGCTCACAGCAACCTCCAACTCTTAAGCTTAGGCGATCCTCTTGCCTCAGCCTCCCAAGTAGCTGGGACTACAGGTGCCCGCCACAACGCCCTGCTATTTTTTTGTTGCAGTTTGGGTGGGGCCGGGTTTGAACCCGCAACCCTTGGTATATGGGTCCGGCACCCTACCCACTGAGCCACAGGCTCCATCCCTATATGTGTTTTTGAAAAATCGACACTAGCATATCCAGCATGATGTGTGAGGTCCATTTCTGTTCATTAGTTAATACTGAGTTTTATAACGTATGAATTGATGACTTCACACCGACCTTAACTAGAATTCTTATTATTCAGTAGCTTCTATGTTAGGTTTGGACACTTCACAATACAAATTCCTTGGGATAATTTATTCCGGAAGAGCCATGCTTTTATTTAAATATAGCAGGGACCCTTGATCCTCCGCCTACTGGTCTCTGGTACACTTTTGGCTTCCACATCTAAAGTCCCTGGGGCAGTGGTCATCTCTATTTTTTGCAGAGCTGGCATTTCCCAGCATTCACTGAGTGAGTAAATATATCCAGACTACTTTACCTTCACTCCTGTAAGCATGCCAGTTGTGGAAACACTAAAATCAAGATATGCCAGCATCTCAGGAGTGGGTGGTTTATACAGCTGAGGTAACCTTTTCCTGGGTAAATCATCTGCAATAAAAAGAAAAACCTGATGTCAATCCGACATGCTGGAACATGACAATCACTGCTCTTCAAGAGCTTTTCTGTGGCTTTGCTGGGGCCAAATTTAGCTTCTGGAATTTGCTAAAGCTTAGGCTTCTTGTATTTAACCAAGCAGCTCAATTATGTCACTCTTAAGAGGTGGGCTAGGGGTGAGGACACCATTAGACAAGATAAGCAAGCAAATCTGCAACAGGTAATTTATTTAATGGGAGTTTAATAAGGAGTAATATACCACAGTAGGAAGTAGACTGCTGGAGTTCCAACCCCATTGCTCTCACGTCTGTGTCTGTTTTCCTTTTTCATAAAATAAAAAACTCTAATGTTCACCCTAAAATGGATCTCTCAAATATTAACTCATAGAATGGTTGGGAAGTTAAATGGAAGTTCAAGATCAGCCTGGGCAACTTAGTGAGATGTCATCTCTAAAAAATAAAACTAGCCAGGCTGGCAGCATGCACCTACAGTCCCAGCTACTCAAGATGATCACTAGGCAAGAGTTCAAGGTTGCAGTGAACTGTGATTGTACCAATGCATTCCAGCCAGAGCAAAACCTTATCTCTTAAAAAAAAAAGTGAGTAGGAGTAGGCAGTATCTTAGAGAAAGGGTAATCTCAGACAACGCTATACAGGCAATGAGTAATGAAGCTCAAACGAGAACTCAGGTCTTCTTACGTCTAGTCCAAGCTTGTTTCAACAATATCATATCTAGAACCGAAGGATCAGATCATCTCAATATTTCATTTGGCCCTACATGTACATGGTCACATCCAGCATAAAAACTGAACCACCTTTCTTTTCTTTTTTTCAGTTTTTGGCCAGGGTTGGGTTTGAACCCACCACCTCCGGCATATGGGGTCAGCGCCCTACTCCTTTCAGGCACAGTGCCATCCCACCTTTCTTTTCTTAAGAGACCGAGTCTCATTTTATCACCCTCAGTAGAGTGCTATGGCATCACAGCTCACAGCAACCTCCAGTTCTTGGGCTTAAGGTGATTCTCTTGCCTGCGCCTCCTGCGTAGCTGGGACTACAGGTGCCCGCCACAGCACTCGGCCATTTTTTGTTGCAGTTTGGCCAGGGCCAGGTTCAAACCTGCCACCCTTGGTATATGGGGCTGGTGCTCTACTCACTGAGCCATAGGCGCCACCCCATTGAACCACCTTCCAATGACACCAAGCTAACAGCAAGATGCTTTTTACTTAAAGAGTTCTTGGCATGTTCTGATCTAGCTGTTTGCATCTGGCTAACATGGTGGTCAGTCCTGTGGCAGCATAAACTTGTAGGCTTTGCCTGTCTTAGCAGGTGGAATGTGCTATAATATAAAGGCAGGGTAAACATGCTTGGCATGGCAATCTAGGGACTCTCAGGTAGAACATGTTTGTGCTCCCTTAAGAGCTCCAGAGCAATCTCTCTTCACCTGTGTCAATGATGGTAGGCCAGGTTTTCACATCCACAGCTGCTGCTGCCTCTCGAGACCTTAGTAGCCTCATTAGGGTCTGAGTGGTGAGAATACAGGCTGCTTTGCTGACCTAGAAAACAAGTGGATAGTAGTAAGCATGAGGAGGCTTAGCTCTGGTGCAGCAGCACAGCCTCTGGGTCACTACAAAGCACCTCACACACCATGCTGGACACAGTAGTGTGGATTTCTCAAAAGCACATATAGGAGAAAGGAGGTTATTGTTTTCTCCTGCATTTTTCCTTCTGGAAATGTGTAACACTTAATTCTCTCAGAATGATGTACTTGTTCATGATACAAGTTATGGTTTATAACAGTAATTCCCCAGTATTTCATGGTTATAATCTCACTATGGGTTCTGCAATCCTATGATTTCATGGAGAACACAATAAAATAAAGACATGGATTTTGTAGTGCTCAGGGAATGAGAGGAATGTGATAATCATGTCTGAAGGAGTTAGTGTTTGTAACAAGAAGTGAATGGTAAGATTTACCAGACCCAAAACACACACTGACTCTGCGGAAGCTCTCACAGAAACTAAGTTCTCCCGCCCAGCTACACTAGGAGATACAAAGTGATCTACTTTGCCCACAAATTGCAACAACAGAAAGAATCCCCCCTCCAGCTTTTCTGGTTCACTTTGTAGAATCTAACAAGGGCACTTTGCTGAATTAAACTTGGTAATGAAATCTTCTATGGTGAACATGGCCTTTTATGCTGTGGATACAAGTTGCTGACAGAGTAGTTCTCAGAGAAGCAAGTGTTACATAAATAGGAATTTTGTAATCTATCAGTACACTGGTCAAGGCTGCCCTTTGCTTTTGTTTTTGAGACAGAACCTCAAGCTATCACTCTAAGTAGAGTGCTGTAGCATCACAGCTCACAGTAACCTCCAACTCCTGGGCTCAAGCAATTTTCTTTCTCAGCCTCCTGAGTAACTGGAGGAACCCTCCACAATGCCTGGCTATACACACACACACATATATATTTACTTATTTTTGGTTGTAGTTGTCATTGTTTGGCAGGCCCAAGTGGGATACTAACCGGCCAGCTCTGGTATATGTGGTTGGCGCCTTAGCCACTTGAGCTACAGGCTCCACCTTGCCCTTTGCTTTAAAGTATATATAGTAGGCTGGGTGTGGTGGCTCACACCTGTAATCCTAGCACTCTAGGAGGCCAAGACAGGTATATTGCCTGAGCTCAGGAATTTGAGACCAGTCTGAGCAAAAGTAAGACCATACCTCTACTAAAAACAGAAAAAAACAGGCATCCCAGCTACTCAGGAGGATGAGTCAAGAGGATCATTTGAGCCCTAGAGTTTGAAGTTGCTGTGAGCTATAACACCACAGAACTCTAACCAGGGCAGAAAGGAGACTCTGTCTTAAAAAAAAATAATAAAGTATAATAGTATATGGTATAATACATACTTATTTTCTTCAACTGTCAGATCCTAGAAGAACTTCTATCACTTCCAGAGCAATGTTTGGACATCTTTTAATGCTATTCTGAGTGAATTTACAAAATCAACTGAAACAAAAGTGACCTGACATTGGGGAGAATTCAGAGCTTGGCACATAATATCACCTTGGTTACGGTGCCCAAAAGACATCGGCTAGCATGATTTTAGAAGGAGGTTAAAGGCTTGGTGAGACCTAGGCTGAAGCTCAGGAGCTCAAGACCAGGCTGAGGAGAAGTGAGACCCCATCTCTACTAAACATAGAAAAATGAGCCGGGCATTGTGGATGCCAAAAGTCCCAGCTAGTCAGGAGGCTGAAGCAAGAGGATTGCTTGAACTTGGGAGTTTGAGGTTACTGTGAGCTATGCTGCCACAGCATTCTACCCAGGGTGACAGAGTAAGACTATCTCAAAAAAAGGGATCTGTCCAATGATAGGGACAAATTCTCTGAAGAATTACTAATGACTGCATCCTCTCCTTAATGGTCATAATAAATGCACAAAATGCTCTACCTTACCAATAACCACTTTCCCCCAGTTTCTTCACTGAATGATGATGGTCACTTTGGCCACATTAAGGAAAAGGAGGTGATTTCAGGAGACAAATTTGACACCCTGATTCAACAAAACTGGAAAATTAATGAGGATCCTTAGTTGTATGAATCTGGAATTTATGAGATGAGGACAAGGTGAGATAAAACTGGTACTTACATCGACAATCATTCGCACAGTGGGCAACGTGGCAGTAAGGTTCTGAGCATGAGGAGGCCGAACAGTCACTGGTATGCACCCTGCATACAGGCAGCCGTAGAAGGCAGCAATTAATTCAATGCCTGCAAGACAGGGAACTCCGTCAGGAGAGCCACAGCATTACTTGGTACCACTGAGAAACTAACAAACAGACCTTCCAAACCCAGTTTCTTTTTTTTTTTGAGACAGAGCCTCAAGCTGTCCCCCTGGGTAGAGGGCCGTGGCATTACAGCTCACAGCAACCTCCAACTCCTGGGCTCAAGCGAGTCTCCTGCCTCCGCCTCCCAAGTAGCTGGGACCACAGGCGCCCGCCACAACGCCCGGCTATTTTTTGGTTGCAGCCGTCATTGTTGTTTGGCGGGTCTGGGCTGGGGATTCGAACCCGCCACCTTAGGTGTACGTGGCTGGCGCCTTAGCCGGTTGAGCTATAGGCGCCGAGCCCAAACCCAGTTTCTTAAACCAGAGTTATTCAGGTTGTAATTTTTTTTTTTGTTATTGTTACAGTTTGGCCACGGCCAGGTTTGAACCCACCAGCACATGGGGCTGGAACTCTAATCACTGAGCCCCAGGCACCACCCCAGGCTGTAATTTAACAGAGCTACTAGCTCAAAAACATTTTAAAAATTAGTAAGAAATAAAAGTGAAGAAGCATGTATTTAAAGAATATAGAGGAAGCAAAAATACATAACAAGGAAGAGAATTAAAAGTAAATTCTTGAAAAATGCCTGAAGATTTTTTTTTTGAGATAGTCTCACTTCGTTGCCCTTAGTAGAGTGCCAAGGCATCATAGCTCACAGCAACCTTCAACTCTTGGGCTTAAGTGATTCTCTTGCCCCAGCCTCCCGAATGGCTGGGACTACAGGAGCCCACCACCATGCCTGGCTATTTTTTAGATACGAGGTCTCACTCTGACTCAGGCTAATCCCAAACCTGTGAGCTCAGACAATCCACTGGCCTCCCAGAGTGCTAGGATTACAGGCGTGAGCCACAGCATTACCTGGTACCAAAAATTGGCCAGGTTTTTTTTTTTTTTTTTAGCAGGCCCTGGCTGGGTTCAAACTTGCCACCCATGGTGCAAGGGGCTGGCGCTCTAACAATTGTGCTACAGACACCCAGCCTGAAGAAGATATTTTGATAGAATTACTTGTTATCACTTAGAAGAAAACTGCAGAAATCAGCGAAGGTTAACTAGGAAAATAAAGAAGAAATGTAAGATGATGAATAACTGAACATTAAAAACATGTTTAGAAGAATATGATGAACAATTAGACTTCTTAGTGTGAGTATGAGTTTGGGGGAGGCAAAGCATGACTTGATATGGAGAATACAAGGAGGAGAGGCCTGAACAGGCCTGATTCACTGCTGCATCTGTAACTGAGAGGCGACAAGACAACCTCACAGGAGTTTGGTAGGAGACATTCCTATACCAGATGCTGACCTAGGAAATCTTGGAATCTATGTAAATAAAACAGCAGGGTAAGAATTATAGAGTTTTGGGGTGGCGCCTGTGGCTCAGTAGGTGGGGTGCCGGCCCCATATACCAAGGGTGGCGGGTTCGAACCCCGCCCCAGCCAAACTGCAACAAAAAAATAATTGGTGTTGTGGCAGGTGCCTGTAGTCCCAGCTACTTGGGAGGCTGAGGCAAGAGGATCATCTAAGCCCAAGAGTTGGAGGTTGCTATGAGCTATGATGCCACAGGACTCTACAGAGGGTGATAAAAATGAGATTATCCTTTAAAAAAAAAAATTATAGCGTTTTGGCTCAGCACCTTTAGCTCCGCGGCTAGGGTGCCAGCCACATACACTGGAGCTGGCAGGTTCAAACCTGGCCTAAGCCTGCTAAACAACAACAACCACAACAAAAAAATAGCCAGGCATTGTGGCGGATGCCTGTAGTCCCAGCTACTTGGGAGGCTGAGGCAAGAGAATTGCTTAAGGTTGCTGTGAGCTGTGACACCATGGCACTCTACCAAGAGTGACACAGTGAGACTGTCTCAAAAAAAAAGAATTATGGAGTATTATTTAATAGTAAGGAAATAAGAGTAGAGGGAAATTAAATGAATACAATGAAGTAAGGTTGAATAAAAGACCACAGAAGGCGGCACGCATGAATAGGTGAGATGACAGAAGGAGTAAGGGAAGGGACAACTCAAACACGTCACCTAAAATTTTGAATCTTTTTACCAAACTGTCAACAAATAATTCTGAGTTCCTCTACTATGAATGGAAGTTAGTGATTTAAATTAGAACTTGGGCAAGTCACAGTGGTTGGCTCTGTAGTCCCAGCTACTTGAAAGGCTGAGGTGGGAGGCTGGGTTGAAGCCCAGTAGTTTGAGAGTAGCCAGGGTAATACAGTGAGACTGTGTCTCAAACAAAAAGACTGAGTATAAGAAAAATAACACAAAATATCTCATTAGTGATTAGTGTTGATTTAAAAATAAATAAATTAGAACATGAGAGATGAAAGCACCAATAACAAAGGAATACTAAACATCAGTTAAGACAAGGGAAATGTTAAGTAAACAGAATTCATGCTCAACTTTCTTTGGAAGCTGCATGAAATTGTCCCATTCCTGAACGCTCTTAGAAACAAAGCATCTGGGGTGGGGCCTGTGGCTCAGTGGGTAGGGTGCTGACCCCATATAACAAGGGTGGGTTCGAACCCAGCCCCGTCAAACTGCAACAACTACAACAACAACAAAACAGCTCAGCCCAGCTACTTGGGAGGCTGAGGCGAGAAAATCGCCTAAGCCCAGGAGTTGGAGGTTGCTGTGAGCTGTGACACCACAGCACTCTACCCAGTGATAAAGTGAGACTATGTCCCTTAAAAAAAGAAAGAAAGAAAAAAAGCATCTGTTCTGAGAGTTTCCAAAAGTCAGTTAAATGTCTTTATTTATTCAACATTTACTGAGTGCCTTTTATGTGCCAGGCACTGCTAATGGAAACATTAGAGTAAATAAAGCAGCGCCTTGGCACCCATAGCACAGTGGTTATGGTGCTGGCCACATGCACCGAGGTTGGCAGGTTCGAACCCTGCCCAGGCCAGCTAAACAACAATGACAACTACAACAAAAAAATAGCCAGGTATTGTGGCAGGTGCCTGTAGTCCCAGCTACTTGGGAGGCTGAGGCAAGAGAATTGCTTAAGCCTAAGAGTTTGAGGTTGCTGTAAGCTGTGATCCCAGCACTTTATCAAGGACGACATAGTGAGGCTCTGTCTCAAAAAAAAAAAAAAAAAGTAAATAAAGCAGATGCAGGCTATAATCCTAGCACTCTGGGAGGCCAAAGTGGGTGGACTGCCTGAGCTCAATGGTTCGAGACCAGCCTGTGCAAAAGTGAGACCTCGTCTCTAAAAATAGCCAGATGCTGTAGCAGGCACCTGCAGTCCTAGCTACTTGGGAGGCCAAGGCAACAGAATCACTTGAGTCTAAGAGTTTGAGATTGCTGTGGGGTATGATGCCACAGCACTCTACTGAGGGTGATGAAGTAAGATTCTGTCTCAAAAAAAAAAAAAAAAAAAAAAAAAGGATAAAGCAGACACAGGCCCAGTAGAGCCAGCTACTGCACAACTTGAAAGTTGAGGCTTGGTTCCCACCTTAGCCTACAAGCACAGTACCCTTAGTATTGGGAAGTATACAACCTATAAGGACAGAGGTGGTCTTGAGTTCCTGTACAGGCTGTGCTCTAGTAATGGAGCTTAAAGTCCAGTGTACCAAGCCAACACTTACCAGGGGGATAAAGCAACACCACATTATCTCCCGCATTGAGATGTCCCTTATCACCAAGAACGGATGCAATCCTCTCTGCTCGCTTATGAAGCTGCAGGCAGCTGGCTGTGCACACAGTAGTTCCCTTTAAATAAGAGAAAGAGTAAGTGAATCAAAGCCAGTGAGAAAATAAACAGTAACAAGCACAGCCAATTTGCCATTATACCTAAAAGGCTTGTGCCTTGTAGACTATCCTTAACATGTTATCAATTCTAGTGAAAAATTCTCATAGATCAAAAGACAAGTATGGAATTCCTTTTCTTTCTCAATATCTATATAGGTACTTAGGAAATAAATATATATATATATTTTGCAGGTTTTTTTTGGCCAGGCCTGGGTTTGAACTCTCCACTTCCGGCATATGGGGCTGGTGCCCCACTCCTTTGAGCCACAGGTGCTGCCTGGTACTTAGGAAATATTACCATCTATTTAAATCAAACATACTAACATTCTTAAGGTAGTTTTAAAAATATATATGAATTTTTTTTTTGAGACAGAGTGTCACTATGTCACCCTGGGTAGAGTGCTATGGCATCACAGCTCACAGCAACCTCAAACTCTTGGGCTTAAGCACAATTCTATTGCCTCAGCCTCCCAAGTAGCTGGGAATACAGGCACCCATCACAATGCCTGGCTATTTTTTGTTGTTGTTGCAGTTGTCATTGTTGTTTAGCAGGCTGGGGCCAGGCTTGAACCTGCTAACCTCAGTGTATGTAGCTGGTGCCATAACCAGTATGCTATAGGTGCCAAGCCATAAATATATATGAAAATTTTAAGTGAACAAATAATAGTAGAGGGAAGTTGAAAGGAATTTAAGTAGTCTGAGGCCAGCACTCTGGGAGAATGAGGCAGGAGGATTCCTTAAGCTTAAGACTTTGAAACCAGTCTGAGCAAAAGCAAAACTCTGTCTCTGTAAAAAATAGAAAATTTAGGGCTGGGTGCAGAGGCTTACGCCTGTGATCCTAGTACTCTGGGAGGCCACAGCAGGTGGATTGCCTGAGCCACAATGAGACCTCATCTCTGAAAATAGCCGGGCATTGTGACAGGCGCCTGTAGTCCCAGCTACTTGGGAGCCTGATGCAAGAGGATCACTTGAGCCCAAGAGTTTGAAGTTGTTGTGAGCTGTGACACCATGGCATTCTACCAAGGGTGACAAAGTGAGACTCTATCAAAAAAAAAAAAAAAACAGCCGGGCACCTGTAGTCCTAGCTACTCCGGAGGCTAAGGCAAGAGAATCACTTGAGTCCAAGAGTTTGAAATTGCTGTAAGCTATGATGCCACAGCACTCTACTGAGGG